CAGGTCATGATCCCAGGATCCCTGGGATTGAGCCCAGATTGAGTCCTGTGGGGCTCTGTGCTCAGTGAGGAGTCTGCTTCTCTCTCTCCCCCTGTCCCTCCCTCTACTGGTGCTCTCTCTTGCTGTCTCTCTCTCAGAAAAACAAACAAACAAGAAAACACCTCAGGCTCCCAATCCCAGTCTAACAGAGATCAACAATAAACAAGTGAAGAAACACACAAGATAAACCCAATGTGTGAAGAGAGCTGTTCTGTACATGACACCATGTACAGCATGGTGTAACAGAGGCTTATTTTAGATGTGGTGGTTGGCAGGGAAGTTTTTTTGAGGTGACATTCAAGCTGAGATAGAAGAATGAAGAAGCTATAACTGTAGAAAGTTGGGGGTGGGGCGGGGGGGGGGGGAAGGAAAGCACTCCAAGGCTGAGTAAACAGAACGTCCAAGTACCCTGAAGCAAAATGTATCCAGACAAAGTAACCTGATAAATCCTAAGAACAAGTGGATGTTGTCAGGCAACTAGACAGATAAGACTTGGTTGGGGAGCCTGGCTGGGTCAGTCAGTAGAGCATGCAACTCTTGATCCCTGGCTTGTGAGTTCAATCCCCATGTTGGGGGTAGAGTTTACGTAATGGAAAAAAAAAAAAAAAAAGACTGGGAAAGCAGACAGGGGTCACATCAGATCAGAATTTGGTAAGTTAGTGTTTAAATTTTATTCTAGGAGCAATGGGAAGCCACTGTAGGGCCTTTAAATAAGAGAAGAAAATGACATCTGAATTATTATTTTTTTTAAAGATTTTATTTATTTATTTGACAGAGAGTGAGAGATCACAAGTAGACAGAGAGAGAGTGGGAAGCAGGCTCCCGCTGAGCAGAGAGCCCGATGCGGGGCTCGATCCCAGGACCCTAAGATCATGACCCAAGCCGAAGGCAGAGGCTTAAGCCACTGAGCTACCCAGGCGCCCCTGAACTATGGTTTTTTAAAAAAAAAGATTTATTTATAGGGGCGCCTGGGTGGCTCAGTGGGTTAAGGCCTCTGCCTTCAGCCCAGGTCATGATCCAAAGGTCCTGGGATAGAGCCCCACATTGGGCTCTCTGCTCAGCAGGGGTCCTGCTTCCTCCTCTCTCTCTGCCTGCCTCTCTGCCTACTTGTGATCTCTGTATGTCAAGTAAATAAATAAAATCTTAAAAAATATATATTTATTTATATACAGGGGACCTGGGTGGCTCCCTGCTCAGTGGGGAGTCTGCTTATCCCTCTCCCTCTGCCCCTCCCCCCCCCATGCTTTCTTACAAGGGCACTTCCACTCTCTCGAATAAATAAATAAATAAAATATTTTAAAAAAAGATTTATTTATGGGGGGAGGGGCAGAGTGAGAGGGAAATAGAAAATCTTGAGCAGACTCGCCACTAAGCAGGGAGCCCATGAGGGGCTGATCCTGTGACCCTGAGATTATAATCAGAGTGGAAATCAAGAGTGGGAAACTCAACCAACTGAGCCATGCAGGCACCCCTGAATTATATTTCTTAAAAGATCACCCTAGGTACCGTATGGAAAATGGATTAGAGAGCACCCAGAAAGACAGCAAGATGACAAATTAAAATGTGGTTGCAGTAATTTAGCTGAGAGATGGAGGTAAAAAAAGATTAGGTTATAGTGGTAGAGATGGAGGAGGTAAATAGATTCATGATATACTTAGTAGGTAGAACCGAGTTCTGGATTTTATGAAGAGGATGAATCCTTGTTGTTTTTAACTAGGTGATGCTATTTAGTATGCTGGGGAAGATTGTGGGGAAGAACAGGTTAGGCTTTTTATTTTTAAGATTTTATTTATTTATTTGACAGAGAGAGAGAGATCACAAATAGGCAAAGAGGCAGGCAGAGAGAGAGAGGGAGAAGCAGGCTCCCCGCTGAGCAGAGAGCCCAATGCGGGGCTCAATCCCAGGACTCTGAGATCATGATCCAAGCCGAAGGCAGAAGCTTAACCCACTGAGCCACCCAGGTGCCCCACCAGGTTAGGTTGATAAAATCAAGAGGTCCAGTTTAGATATACTATATCTGATATGCCAGGGAGACATCCAAGTGGAGAGGTCCAAGAAGTAGTTGAATTAAAAAAAAAAAAGTAGTTGAATATATGCCATAGGAACTCAGAAGACAGACCTACCCTACTATGGAATTATACATTTAAAGATTATTAACATTTAGGTGGTATTTGGTCTTGAAGAGATTATCTACATAAGGAGAGAACAGTTAGTTGTTAAAGAGTGTCTAGAAATGAGCTCTGAAATATCTCAGCATTTAGAAGTGCTATAAGGGAGGAGTCAGCGACAGAGAGGGATCTCTGAAACAGGAGAAAAATCATCAGTGTGGTGTCACACAGGCCCGTGAGAAAAGTGTTTCATCAAAGACAGCCATCCATGTGGAAGGTTACTAACAGGTAAAAAGAGTTAATTATAGAGAAGTGTTTATTGAATTTTGCAATATGTGGATCACTATCATTCCAGGCAAGGCATCTTTTAAGAGGAGAAGGGTGGACAGATTAGGGTGGATTTAAGATGAAATTGAGGTGAGGAAACGGAGACCTCTAGTGTAGACAACTTGTTTTAGTTTTCTTGTAAAGAAGAATGAACGGGCGCCTGGGTGGCTCAGTGGGTTAAAGTCTCTGCCTTTGGCTCAGGTCATGATCCCAGAGTCCTGGGATTGAGCCCCACATTGGGCTCTCTGCTCAGTGGGGAGCCTGCTTCCTCCTTTCTCTCTGCCTGCCTCTCTGCCTACTTGTGATCTCGCTCTGTCAAATAAATAAATAAAATCTTAAAAAAAAAGAATGAAGAAATGAGATGAAAGGATAAAAGTTTTGTTTATTTTGAAGATGGTTGTGTCTCAGTAGAAGTAACTGATGATACAGTGAGGAAAAATCCTTGAGAAGACATTCGGGGGGTGGGTATCCACAGCACTAGAGGAGGGGTCTGCCCTTTGATAGGGGCGAAGACACATCTTTCGTGGTATCAGGAAGAAAGACAGAGAGGATGGGTACAAATACAAGCAGGCTTGAGGCTTTCCATCTAGATGAGTGTTCCTCTCTGATTTGCATTTTCTCAAAGAAAATAGGAAAATTAGTTATGGTGAAGTGAGAGAAGAAGGTATAAGAGTTTGAAGAGAGAAAGCATGAAATACACTATCTCTGGAAGTGGGGAAGTGGGAAAGTGAATTTACTAGTGAGATTCAGTAAGATTGCCAGAAAAGTCTAATGCCCTTTTGAGGCTTGTAGTCAAGAATTTAAAGTGAAAGCCTCAGCTCTTTTAAAGAAAGTGAATTGTTGGGTCCACTTAGAATTGGGGTTTTACCAAGTGAGTACAATGGAGAAAGAGAAAAACAAGAATTGTATTTGTGAGCAATCATAACATCTAAGCCTGGTGACAGATGTTATGAATATAAGAATGTGAAAGTGAAAAAGTAATACATTTAATGATCTGAAGGTTTTGAGTAAGTAAAAAAAATCAGAGTTACTATTGTTCAGACAGTTGAGATGCTTAAAAGGAGATCTCAGAGACAGTATAGTTACTAGCAATAACAAACACTGGATAACTATGTGGAGGATTAGGTGGATACTATAGGATGGAAGGGAAGATTGTTGGAGGTGAAGAATTAACAGAATATCCGGCAGTCATCCAAATAGATGTTGAATGATGAGCAGAAGTAGAGATGGAAAGGAAGACAAAGAGCCATGAGCTAGTATTAATAAAGGAAGGAATGATCCATCAAAAGGTCCATGGATGACAGTAACTTGGAAGGGTATTAAGGGACATGGCTGGGGTACTTCAAAGTTAGAGGGTTTTTTTGTTTTGTTTTGTTTTGTTTTGTTTTGTTTTAACCGAGGTTTGTTTTTTTTTTTTTAGATTTTTATTTATTTATTTGACAGACAGGGATTACAAGCAGGCAGGGAGGCAGGCAGAGAGAGAGAGAAGAGAGGAGGAAGCAGGCTCCCCACTGAGCAGAGAGGCCGATGCGGGTCTCCATCCCAGGAGCCTGGGATCGAGCCCCACATCAGGCTCTCTGCTCAGCAGGGAGCCTGCTTCCTCCTCTATCTCTGCCTGACTCTCTGCCTACTTGTGATCTTTGTCTGTCAAGTAAATAAATAAAATCTTAAAAAAAATAAAGTATCTTAATCTGTTCACAAAGTGTTGAGTGCTAGTGGATTATTTTATTTTATTTATTTGAGAGAGAGGGGGAGAGAAAGCACAAGCAGGGGAAGGACAGAGGGAGAGAGTGAGGGAGAAGCACACTCCCTGCCCAGCAGGGAGCCCAACGCGGGGCTCCACCGAAGGACCTTTGGTATCATGGCCCAAGCCGAAGGCAGATGCCCCAGTACTAGTGGAAGTAAAGAAAATGTTATATTCCTTCTGTGATTTGTGTATGTAAATTACTAGTCTATACACACGCACGTACACAATTAAAATTTTTTTTGAACAGAGTGCACTAATTTAAGCCTATTCCGAAGTTTCTATTGCTAAAACAAATCTGTACTCCAGTGAGGGTCCAAAATGAAATTAATAAGACTGTGTGTGAAATCGGTAAGATTTTATTTCTCTAATTTAATTGGCCCAGCACAAGGTAGAGTAGGTAGTAAGCACAAGTAATTTATGCTTTTGAACCGGAGAACATCTGTTCTTTTCGGGCAAGAATACCGGCAGGCAGCTCTTGGGGGGTAATCAAGAAAAGAAAAGGGTCCTCTAACATCTCTCCCCAGGAGCTGATAGGGCCCTGGCTATCAGGGACAATTGCTCTGGCGAACCCATTCAAATTTCTCACAGCAAATCACAGTGGCCTACAGCCAACTCCTTTTCCGCTCATTGGCCAACTGGAAACCTCAGCCCCTCCCCCTATGCCTCCCTTCTCTCATCCGGAAGCCAATCGGAAAGATTAGCGCTCCGTAACTTAGTGTCATCAAGTACCGTACTTGTAATTGGCTATTGGAGCTACCGATTGAGAAGTAGGCGGGGCCATACCAGCTGGTCTATATAAGAGGAGGACAAAGGCGGCGCGCCGCCTGTGTCATCCGCCATCTTGTGCGAAGCAAGGTGGCCTCCACGTTCCCTGAGCGTCTTCTCCGCTTCTGCCTCGACCGCCCCTTGATCACAGACATGTCTCGGGACCGGTTCCGGAGCCGTGGCGGTGGCGGTGGCGGCTTCCACCGGCGCGGAGGAGGCGGCGGCCGCGGCGGCCTCCACGACTTCCGCTCCCCGCCACCCGGCATGGGCCTCAATCAGAACCGCGGACCCTTGGGGCCCGGCCCGGGCCAGGGTGGCCCCAAGCCCCCGATCCCGCCACCGCCTCCGCATCAGCAACAGCAGCAGCCACCGCCGCAGCAGCCGCCACCGCAGCAGCCGCCGCCGCTTCAGCCGCCACCGCATCAGCCGCCGCATCAGCCGCCGCCGCCGCCACAGGACTCGTCCAAGCCCGTCGTTCCTCAGGGACCCGGCCCGGCTCCCGGAGTGGGCAGCGCTCCGCCGGCCTCCGGCTCGGCACCGCCTGCCACTCCTCCGACCTCCGGGGCCCCTACGGGGCCGGGCCCCACCCCGACCCCGCCGCCCGCTGTCACCTCGGCGCCCCCCGGGGCGCCCCCGCCCGCGCCGCCGAGCAGCGGGGTCCCCACCACCCCGCCTCAGACCGGGGGCCCGCCGCCTCCACCCACAGGGGGCCCGGGCCCCGGGCCTAAGCAGGGCCCAGGGCCCGGAGGCCCGAAAGGCGGCAAAATGCCAGGCGGGCCGAAGCCCGGCGGTGGTCCGGGCCTAAGCACTCCTGGCGGTCACCCCAAGCCGCCGCACCGAGGCGGCGGGGAGCCCCGCGGAGGTCGGCAGCACCACCCGCCCTACCACCAGCAGCATCACCAGGGGCCCCCGCCTGGCGGGCCAGGCGGCCGCAGCGAGGAAAAGATCTCCGACTCAGAGGTGAGTGTCTACCGGAGCTACGCGTCGGTTTCTCTAAGATGGCGGCGGCCCCCTCCTCTTTCCCTTCCCCGCCTCCATTTTGTCGGAGACCGGAAGGCGCGTGCGCGCGGGCGGCGGAGGGCGGGGCCGCTGCCGGAGCGAGGGGCGGAAGGCGTGGGTCCTCTTCCTGGCCCCGGGCTAGCCTCCCAGCTGGCTGAGAACCCAGGGTGGGTGGCCTGAGGAGGCAGCGATGAGAAGCTGTGCTGGGCCTTGTTAAAAGTAGAAGATCCTGGGGACGGAGTAGAGCGTGAAATGCAGGGTTGGCCAGGTCGGAGGAGACCTTAAAAGCGCAGGAACAAAGGTACGGGTGATAGCAGGATTTTCTTCGCATCCTTTTTTTCACTTGATAGATGGTGGCCTTTTTAACTTAATGTGTGCTACGACTTAGGTTTGCTAGGAATACTTAACATATACAGCTGATGTTGATTGTGTAGAGTCGAGTTTGGAGAGGGTTATAGGTCCATTCTCGAGTGTTTTGGATGGTTTGGGCTGTTTGATGTTTGGATAGTTAATACGTTGGAAATCTCTCAGATACGGAATCTTGACTTTGACTTTAAACGGAACAGAAAAGCAACCCGATTGGTGGTACTACCCAGTCTGGGAAAGCGAACGTTATTACCGGATTTTTCTACTTGCTAAGGTCACTGGTTTCTGAAAATTTCCTTCCTTTTTCATTAGGGATTTAAAGCCAACTTGTCTCTCTTGAGGAGGCCTGGAGAGAAAACTTACACTCAGCGTTGTCGGTTGTTTGTTGGGAATCTACCTGCTGATATCACAGAGGATGAATTTAAAAGACTTTTCGCTAAATACGGAGAACCAGGAGAAGTTTTTATCAATAAAGGCAAAGGATTTGGGTTTATTAAACTTGTGAGTTTTTTTTTCTCTTTTTAATGTGGATTTAGAGGGGTTTTCCCTTGTTTTTTGCTACTGCAAACTCTAGTGTTAGAGCCAACAGCAGTAAGTTGGTCTTTAAAATTTTCATCGTTTTTTACAAAAAGTGCGACTGTTGTATTGTGAATAATTGTTGGTACTAAGAAAAGAGAGGAGTGGGTGGGTAAGACCTTTACCTACCCTGGGTGGTGTCAGGGAGAGCTGCCTGCGGATCTTGAGCTGAGCTGGAGAAAGGGAAGGGAGTTAAGCTTTTGACAGACAGACAGTTTTAGAGTGGGTGTTAACTGATGTTGAAGTTATATTAACATGAATATGTCTGATACTTTCAGGAATCTAGGGCATTGGCTGAAATTGCCAAAGCTGAACTTGACGATACACCCATGAGAGGTAGACAGCTTCGGGTTCGTTTTGCCACACATGCTGCCGCTCTCTCTGTTCGAAATCTTTCACCTTACGTTTCCAATGAACTGTTGGAAGAAGCCTTTAGCCAATTTGGTCCTATTGAAAGGGCTGTTGTAATTGTGGATGATCGTGGGAGATCTACAGGGAAAGGCATTGTTGAATTTGCTTCTAAACCAGCAGCAAGAAAAGCCTTTGAAAGATGCAGTGAAGGTGTTTTCTTACTGACAACGTAAGTTCATATGCTTATACTAATTTTTATTTATTAACTTGGATGAAGAAGTTGGGATAAAACTGAAAGCAGTTAAGATGGAACCATTTCTGTTACTAGAACTCCTCGTCCAGTCATTGTGGAACCACTTGAACAATTAGATGATGAAGATGGCCTTCCTGAAAAACTTGCACAGAAGAATCCAATGTATCAAAAGTAAGATTGATTTAATCTGAGCAATTTTTAATTGCAAATGAGAACTTGTAGTAATTTTTCAGTTTTGCTTAGAGAATGAGAAATTCTTTGAAATGCATGTGCTTGATAGAAATATAAGGGTCAGGAAGTTTAGAGGTTTTGGAGCAGAGATAGTCAAATGCTTAATGTTTGTTACTGAGATAGGTATGTTTTATATGCAGTTTTGTTTGGCCTTCGAACAACTGCATGATGAATACCTATCTTTTTAAGGATTAAAAAAACAGTCCTTGAGGGATGCCTGGGTGGCTCAGTCGGTTAAGCTGCTGTCTTTGGTTCAGGTCATGATCCCGGTGTTCTGGGATCGAGTCCTGCATCCGGCTCCTTGTCCAGCAGGGAGCCTGCTTCTCTCTCTGCCTCTGCCTGCCACTCTGCCTGCTTGTGCTCTCTCTCTGACAAATAAATAAATAACATCCTTTAAAAAAAAAAATAGTCCTTGAAAAGGAATTTGGTTAGAGGAAATAAAATTAGGAAATGAGGAAGGTGGGATTTATCTCCCAGGATTTATTGTCCTGGGATCTGTTATTTATTACTTGGTGAAGATTTGTTTATTAGCACGGCTGTGTACGCGTGGCGTGGCAGTGGGTGGGAGAAGAAGGAGAGAATCTTAAGTAGACTTCTGCTGAGGCAGGGCTCACTCTCATGGCCTGAGCCAAAATCAAGAGTTAGAATGAGCCAACCAGCTGCCCCTGGAACATGCCATTTTTAATGTAGGCTATTTTACATGAACCATGGGGGCCGTTGCCTTTTGGGATTTCTTACATGTGATAGGCCGGGGGGACATCTGTGTTTTTAGGGCAATCAGGTAGTATCTCTTGTGTGTGTCCACAAACTGGTTCATGTTTAAATACTGTCAGGGAGAGAGAAACGCCTCCTCGTTTTGCCCAACATGGCACATTTGAGTATGAATATTCTCAGCGATGGAAATCCCTGGATGAAATGGAAAAACAGCAAAGGGAACAAGTTGAAAAAAACATGAAAGATGCAAAAGACAAATTGGAAAGTGAAATGGAAGATGCCTATCATGAGCATCAGGCAAATCTTTTGCGTCAAGGTAAAAGACCCTTTTGTGTAAATTTCACTGATAGGATCAGTTGGTTTTTGAAATTTTTTTATAGTCCCATTGACGTGAATTCAAAACAATTTTCTAATGTTCAGATCTGATGAGACGCCAGGAAGAATTAAGACGCATGGAAGAACTTCACAATCAAGAAATGCAGAAACGTAAAGAAATGCAACTAAGGTAAAATTTTGTTAAGCTAATAAGCCTTTGCTTCTGGATTAACATTTAGAGGAAAAGATGGGCCTAAATTTTGCAGGCAAGTCTAATGGACTACAGAGAGGTTACATACTGTGTCAGTGTTGGTTTAACACAAAGTTGGAGTAGAATGTAAGGTTTTGATTGATGATGTGTTTTCTTTGCCAGAATGTTTCTAAGTCTATTATACACCACACTTTCATGTGTGTTTGCTGTAATCTAGACTTCGTAAAGCTCTGAGGCACATTACTAGCTTTCTTTAAAATGGCTTTTAAAAGATGCATATGACACTTTAGTTTATATGCTTGATGAATATTTCCAGGCAAGAAGAAGAACGACGTAGAAGGGAAGAAGAGATGATGATTCGTCAGCGTGAAATGGAAGAACAAATGAGACGCCAAAGAGAGGAAAGTTATAGCCGGATGGGCTACATGGATCCAGTAAGTAAAATTCTTTTGAAATGTAATTGGAGTTGTCTACAAAACTTGGAGGTACCTAAAATGAAACTTAACTCAAATAATGTCATTTTACTTCACTGCCCTTCTTTATACAAGTGTGTTATTATGATTAATACACTTTAAAGTTTTATTTTCTTGGCTGGGCCTAAAGATTTCACTGGGTGGGAAGAAGCCTTACAGGTTTTCTAATGATTGAGTTCTCAACATTTGGTTTCAGAATATTGGTTTTACGTGTAGTCTTAACCGATTTTTAAGTTTTGGAAATTTTTTAGGTATAGTATGGGTGTATGAAAGGGTTTATTTTTATTTTTCTTGCAGAGAGAAAGAGACATGAGAATGGGTGGTGGAGGAGCAATGAACATGGGAGGTAAGCAGGAAAATCAAATTAGCAATACCATTAGAGAGCAGTGTCCTGGTTGAGTCGTAACCAGCATTTTTGTTTCCTAGATCCCTATGGTTCAGGAGGCCAGAAATTTCCACCTCTAGGTGGTGGAGGTGGCATAGGTTATGAAGCTAATCCTGGAGTCCCACCAGCAACCATGAGTGGTTCCATGATGGGAAGCGACATGGTAATGTATCCTGTATGACGTAGTACGAAGGAAATTCTCATTTTTCACAACTTACGTGTGTGTGTTTTGTTTTTTGTTTTTTGGTTTTTTTTCTTTTTTAAGTAGGTAACTGGACCTCTTTTTAGTTCCCTTATCACGTAAATCATAATATCGAGGAGTACTTTGGCAACATAGAAGAACTCTGTGTGCGGTAACCTAAACAGCAATGGTTGCCAACAACAAGTCAACGCTGTCAGTAGTGTGTTGGAGTTCTCTTTGGCAATAAGTAGACATAGGTGCTTTCTATTATATTGCTTGTGTACTTTTGCACTCTAGCACATGGCAAATTCAAATTCTAAATGTTAGATGATGTACCTGATTATTCTACATCCAAGTGAGAGTAATCAAATGGCAAACTGTCATTCATTAAGCTGATATTTGCCATAAGTATGAATCAGACTTGTAGTTTATAGTTTTAGGCATGTTCTAGTGATGTGTAGGACTTTGATCTATATTTGGTGTGGTTTCTACCCATGAAAAGGGAGTTGTTCACGGTTTTGACTCGTCGTTTCCCACTTGTTGGGCCTGTCCATAGGTGTACCTTCTAAAATAAACTGACATCTCTATTTTGCTACAGGATAGCAAAAATCATTGACAGTTTCAAGCATACTAGTTGTGTGCATTTGATCTGAACCTTCTTGATGCTTTCATATTTTAACTGTACAGATAGCCTGTCAGGATGCTTTAGAACCACCAAGTGAGTTGGTCTGAGTGGCTGTGTTAGGGCTTTACAGATCGTAGGAAAATTGAATAGTGGATTTAGAGGTGGGTTTAGAGAAGAGTGCATTTTCACAACTGAACTGAATCTGATTGGTTCACCTGCAAACTTTTGGCAGAGGAGGGAAGCTTCAGCACGAAGCTCATTAGATTCATTTTACATTTTTATATATTTTACATATAGGAGTATAAGGATTTGGTATGGGGCCTAGTCTATTTAAAATCTACATAAGGTTTTTTGAGAATTAGAATCATAAGTACCTGGTTGGGTTAAAACATAGTGTTACTAGCTTTCTTTAAATTAAATTTTAAAAAATACTGTGGGTAACATTTTGGTTTATATGCTTTTCTAAAAGGTAGATTGTAGGTCTGTATCAGATTTGTAAAACTAATTTGACATGATGTTCCCACAATTAAGGTTCTTTGTATGTCCCTTGTAACAGGTAGGGTTTTAAGATGATGTAATAACATAATCGTGAAACCCAAAAATTTTCTTAGAGCTTTTGAGATACACAGCATAATGTGCTAAAACCCTCAAATTTTTAGGATTTTGAGAAATAGTTTAGAGGGTTGAGGTTTAGTTTTTTAAGTAGTTCTATAGTATTTAGTAGGAAACATATTGGAAATATGTATAGGAACAGTTAAACCCTGATGCCCCCCCCCCCCTGCATTTTTGGAGTGATGCTCTCAGTAATTTATTTTGAATGGAATTTGAAAGATAGTTGAGGCTTCTGTGCTATGCATATCTATAGGGTTTTTCTGTTTGGGGACTATAGGTTTCTCAGATTAGAAGTACTTAAAACTAGGTGGAATCATGAAATCTTGCTTTATTGCAGTTACTTGAGCTTGGTGTTTAGGTTGTTTGAGAAAAAGCCAAAACGTGGAATCATAGCTAACCAGTGGACTTCCAAAGACCTGAAGAAAAAGCTGGGCTGGTGTGGGGGTGGGCTGTATATTCAATCAATTTGCAGCAGTACAGACTACTGTGAACATAATTGTCTCTGGTTACGTAGTGATGGTTCTGAAGGTGGTATACCTGTGAGAATATGGCAACACTTTTTAATGAAGTTACTGTGCCGGTTATGTTAGTCTTTTATGCTTTTTCTTTTTGTAGTTTGGTAGCATTTTATTAAAACTTTGAACTTTTTAAGATTTCTGCAAGTTAGCAGATGTGTCTTAAGATCTTGAAAAGCACAAGGTTTCTTATGCAGCTCATGCCACTAACTGGTGAGTAGGTCTTTGTCACTTCATTGAGTGCATTGAATCTGTCTGGTTGGGCTTGTTAGGCTTACTTGGAAAATAAATTTCCTGTTCAGACCTTGAAAGTGAGAAGTTTGCAAGCTTTTCCAGTGGGTTAATCTGATGTGAAATTTCTTAAAACTCATTTTGGAATGGGTTTTCACATCTGCACTAATTCTTAAATTTTTTAGCACTACAGGGAAGACCTATTCTTTGAAACAGGTGTATGAGAATGGCTCAAGTGGGAACATACCACAAGGCATGTATTATCGTAAACTAATTTTCAAATTACCCTTTTTTCCTTTCTATGTTCCCGGTACCTGTGGATCGACTCATTGGTGATTGTATCGACGAACGTTGACTACGGAACCTTCTAAAATATTTACTTAACACACATGGACATCAACTACATATAATGAACTGTTAATTTACTGTTCCAATAGCGTACTGAGCGCTTTGGGCAGGGAGGTGCGGGACCTGTGGGTGGACAGGGTCCTAGAGGAATGGGGCCTGGAACTCCAGCAGGATATGGTAGAGGGAGAGAAGAGTATGAAGGCCCAAACAAAAAGCCCCGATTTTAGATGTGATACCTAGGTTTTCATTCCAGTTTGTTTTTGTCTTTTCTTGTTTAGATACCAATCTTTTAAATTCTTGCATTTTAGTAAGAAAGCTACCTTTTTATGGATGTTAGCAGTTTATTGACCTAATATTTGTAAATGGTCTGTTTGGGCAGGTAAAATTATGTAATGCAGTGTTTCAAACGGGAATTTTTTTTTTTTATTTCCTTTTTTTTTTTTAACTGTATAATGTCCCTCAAGTTATGGCAGTGTACCTTGTGCCACTGAATTTCCAAAGTGTACCAATTTTTTTTTTACTGTGCTTCAAATAAATAGAAAAAATAGTTATAATATTGATCTTCAACTTTGCCATTCATGCTTCTATGCACATTAGGCTAGGTATTCCACTTTGAAAGCATGAGCGTTTCTAGGCCTTCAAATGGCACCTGCCATTTCTGGGAAATGTATCTGTAGGCTAAGTATTGCTTTCTACAAACAAGTACCCCCTTGTTTTAAAAAGAAGAAATGCATATTGAAGTAGTTTCATGATTTGATTTGTTTGGCATTATAGGAAGCAAGCTGGTGCTAAGTATTTTTAAATGGTTATGTAAGCAAGCTGAACTGTAAATCTTCCTTCGGGAATGTGTATTAAGATGATGGAATGGGTGAAAGACTATCGGTAGGGAGAGAAAGTGGGTATGACTAAATGGATCTTTATGGCCCTATGATCTATCCTTTCCTTGAAAGTTTCTGAAGAAAAAGTGGAAAGATCATTCTGTTGCATTTCTCCATTCTTGTTTTTAAAAGAACAAGTCCAAGCCCTACATATGGCTTGTATTGAACTTTCACATTTGAATTAAAGATTGTTAAACATGAAGCCTTTTCATGTATTACTTCAAGTGATTTATGAAGATGGGGTTTAGTCTGAAAAATGCAACTGGAAAGTAAGAAGCGTAGTAGCCATAAAGTAGCTTTAGCTATGTATGCATTTGTACTCTGTAACTTTTACATCTCCTTGTGCTACTGCTGGTGGGCAAAATCTGTAGGACTGTAACAATCTACTTATTCTCTTGTCTAAGAACTAGTGGTGACTGTTAATGACAAATAGGGTTGCAGATAACAATTCTTACTGTAAAATATTTGTTAACATGTTTTTCCATAGTTTACTTTCAATGTAGCACTAATTCTGGAGAGAGTTGCTTATGCTACACAGTACAAATAGCCCTTCTTCCCACCATAAAGTTTTGGAGTGTTTCGATGGTGTTGTCAGTTGATTGTCAACTTCATTGAATCTCCTTCCATTAGGAAAGACATTTTGACTTTTATTAAAGTAGATTGTTACTGTTGTCTGTTAGTACAACGGGAACCTGTTTTCCCAGTGCATATGTTAGCAGAGGAACAGTTTCCTAAAAGTAGGTAAAGTAATGAACGGTTTGGCTTGTTCTTAGTTAACGTTTCCATTCAAATTTGTACATTACAGAGCTCTCACTATGGAATGTGTCTTCCTCTTTTTCACCTCTGTTCTTGGTGCTAATTGGCAAAAGTAAAATTCTAAATCAAATCTTGGTTAAAATGCTGAAGCTTAGTATTGTGCCTGAGTACAAAGGGAAACCTATTGTTGAAACAGTTGAGCACTTTCTGCATAGGAAACTGGATAATACTAAAAGTAAAACACTAGTGGAATATAATTATAGGCATGTCACCCAGTTCTGCTTGTGTGACTGACAGGTACATGGTGTGCTAATTAAGGAAGAGAGTCTCCTTAGAAAATCATCATTTCTTCACCAAGACACTTGGAAATGGGTAGTAGTTCTACCACTATTCTATCAATAAGGAAGTTTTTGTCCTAAGTCCTCAATTGGTGATATGTATGAGGTTATCTGTATGGAAACAAGGGTGTGGATTTGAAAGGAATCCCTTACAATCTGATTGAATTGCATGGTAGGGACTCCACTAATGATAAAATAAGGGGTGTTCATGGGACACCCACAGAGGGTGAACTTGAATGTGTGTGGGCGGGGGCTGGTGGGGAAGTGGGAAAATCTGCCTATAAAATTAATGTTTCAGTTTATTTTTCAGATTACATGCCTTTCTTTATAAGGGATGCTGGCACAGACCCCTAAAATAAGCTTTTGTTAGTACTGTACCTTTGAAGAGTGGTGAAGGATGCTAATGGATAATCTCCTGAAAGTTGTGGCTTTGATAGCCTTACTGTGGGCTGTAGAATTGCTAAACGTCGTTTAGCAAATAATGTTGCTTAGTTCCAACTAAGTTTTGCCTTTCATCACTGAAACAGCAGTGTACCAAGGGTTGTAAGCTACTCAAATAGACTTTCAATAAGTCTTGGAATGCATATGATAGTTTTTAGACTAATGTGAATTTAAATCATCTTAAAAAGGAATTTCCTAAAAGCTGATAATGAAATGTGGGGTGGGAAAAGGGAGTGTAGTACCTTTGAAGTATTTTAGTCATTTTTCTCATTTAAAGTAACCACCTGCCCCCATTTCCTCTCCTCTACTTTCTCTCATAATTTTGTGTTAAGAGGAACGCTGATCGTTTTAAGCCTATTACTCCTAATCTTAAAAAATTGCATTCTCTAAGAGACCCCAGTGTATTTAGTAGGTACCGTCTAAGATTAACCCAATGGCTCACATTCAGTGAAATCCTAATCCTCTTGGCTTAGAACACTAATTAAACTCCTTCTAAGTAGAAGTACTATAAACCCCACCACTCTTTATAGATGTATTATACCACTAATATAAACAGATAATAATTTGGGAAATTGTAACGGTACGCCTGTGCAATTTTTTATAAGTGGCATATTATGGCAGACAAAAATTTAGATACTTGGCTTTTCTTGGGCGCCACTATGTTGTGGCGGAATGTTTTCTGGTGTTCTTGGACTGCAATTATGCACTCTTAAAGTAGTGGCCTGCTACATAACTGCATTTAGCCAGCATTTCTGCAGTGCGTAACTGTGAGGAACGTAGTACCGCAAATGGCAATGGACATTAGGACCCGGATGTAGTATTCCTGCTTGCTCCAAGATTCTCATTGCCGACTGCATACAGGTAGGTAACAAGCAATATAATCTAACTTGGTGACTTGCTATGTACTTTTATTCCGTGGGCATTCTGACATCACACTTCTGACAATGAAATTACAGTGCAGCACCTAACACTTGTATGGTAAAGCTAGTTTCTATCAAAACTGCGTGGGTTTGGGCTTAGAGCTGTAATTTGTCAGGCAGAATTCAGTGCTGTTGCAGTTCTCAGATAAAAAGTGCAAACTTGATTCTTTGGTATGTCTGATTCAGTTGCGTGGTTTCCTTTAGTTGCATTGTAACTGAAGAGAACCTGGAGCATATCAGTGGTGTGGGGGAGAGGGAATCAAACCATACGTGGGAAGTAGAGTGCTTTTAAGCATCTTGACACGACTGTATAGCATGTGATACTGAGTCTCTGTTGTAGCAAACTGACCTCATAGGTCAGCAATATTGATTTCAGAATGTAATCTCGGTAATTTCTGTAGGTTGAGTGAATTAAGACAAAGTACAGTTTTTTTTTTTGTAATGTGATTAAAATTTTTTTTTTTTAAATGGGCTTCATGGGAATACCTTTGTTACTAATGTGGGCTTAGGTGGGAATCTAATGTGTATAGTTCAAGTTATGTGACTTATCTAAATATGTCTCTGCTCTAAACCTGGGGGAAAGTGGTGTGGCATGTTGATTTGCCTGCAGTTGAATACATGTTGGGAATCATTTCCCAATCCTAAGCCTTCGTCGTATTCTGTAGGATAACTGCACATGTTCAGAGTAGCTTTTCGAATTTGGTTCCCTTATTAGCTTTAGGGATGTGATGTTACATAATCCAAAATGTTCACCCAAGAAAAAGAAAAGTCTTCAAAAGCACCTTCTTTTGTTGCTTAGGACTTAAGCTTTGTAAGCTTTGCATCAACTGTTGTTCCAGACCTCAATTCAACTTAACTTTGGTCTCTGAGCTGGTTTTTAGATAGCATGCATGAGAAACAGCTATCATGTATAATGCTTTCTGCTCTGTAACTGGAAAGTTCGGTTTACTTTGCATAAATGCCGGTGAAAACTCTTCATGACTATGAGAATTTTCTTCCACTCTATCAAGAAAAATGGCTTGTTCTTTGGCAAGCAATTCACAAGGTGGGGACAAATTGGTACTTAATATGTAGTCTGTTCAAGCAAATAACTTGACTCTCCTATTAAAAAAGCAAATGGTGACTAGTTTAGTTCTATATTGATAGTACAATGCAGTGCAAACATAATGCTCAGTATTAGTGACGAGAGTGTCACTAAATTGACATACAACCCTGATGGGGTTTTCCTGTGGCATAATTCATTAAATCGGTGGCCAACACTTGCTGCCGTGATTTAGTGATTCGAGTGCTTAGAAATAAAAGCTCAAGTTTATTTCCTAACAGCCAGTAACAATTTTGAGAGAACGTACTTGTTATAATCTATGGACTTGAGGAACATTACTGGGGAGGGTGGTTAATTTTGCTTCATTTCTGCTTATTTCAAGATGAATAGGTTTTTGCACTTTGAAATGAGAAACCTGTGACTTAAGTCGATTCTTACTAGTTTCGATTTGTATGTAGCTATAATTTGTGAATCTTAGTGTAGAGGGTCTCACTCACTCAAAAAGCTGGGAATAAATGGGTTGCAGTAACAACACTATACCGAGGTGCTTGCATTGTATTTCATAGTCTTTTCTTGTTACAAACCAAAATTATTCTTTTTAATGAGAATGGTCTAAGGTTCAGAAGTGTGATGCCAGAATGCATTTTCGTACAGTTAGGCCCTTGGAACAGATACCGGTGCTTTCTGAAAGATGAAAGAAATGGAATGGGTGCTCTTCACACAGGTTGCAAAACCTACAAAGAATGCATAATAGTCTCATTTTTTCCCCTAGAGAAGAGATGCGTGTGACTAGTTTTGGACTTTTAACCTAAATGGGGGTTGCATGTCTCCTATTGTTAATCATTGTCAGCTGCAGTGACATGATCCACAGTCCTGCATTTACTGCCTTTCCCTTAATGATTTTGGACAGGTTTGAGAGAGCCAGGATGTTTGTTCTGGGCCTTTATTTGGTTTTGGCTTTAGCTGATAATGTTTCAGTGTTCTGTCAGCTAGTGCAGTTCTCAAATGGCTGCCTATTAGGGAAAGAATTCTGAGGATTTGACTGTTCCTAATCATCTGTCATTGCTGCTAGATAATGATTGGCAATTTTTAAGACTCAACTGTGGAAATCTCACAGTTGGTAAACCATCAACCATAAAAATGTTGCTTTTGAACACCAGTGCTGAAAAGATTTTATTTGGAGGGTGAGAAGGGGGCTGGATGCAGGATAGGATAATCTGGAGAATGGGGGAGAATGCAAACGATATAGTATCCCTTATGGATGGTACATGTGCAACAGGGAGCTCTTTTTTTTTTTAATCCCCTTGGCAGTAACTGATAATCAGGGAGGAAGAAAAACCTGGAACTTGAATTAAGGCTGATCTTTCTGGTTTTTGTGCACCGTGGCCCTGCCAGGCATATATAGTGAAGGTGAATGTTTTCTCCCTCAGAAAAACTCAGGTTCCTTGCTGTCCCGAATAAGGCCTAGCTTCCCTGCCCTAACTGAAAACTCAGTGAGGACTTGGAGGGAAAGAAAGAGGCAAATACAGAGGATTGCAGGGTAACAACTGCATTGTTGTGTACTGTGGATGGGGGAGGGCACTCTTGGAGGACTCCTGATGCAGGTGGTCAGTCCACCTGAGACCGGAAGACATACTTGAATGGGGAGCAGGGTACGTGCTTTTATATGAAAAGAGAGCTGATGTTAAAACTCATTTGGTAAGGTAAACGTTGTCACATACCTTCACATAAGGGATAGTATATTTTGGGTTGCAGTCAAACTTGATTGTGCTCAGACTGGTGAAAATAGCAGATAGGCTTTTGTATTTTAAATAAGGTACAGTTTTTATTCTTTGAATTGAGCTGTCTACTTTATTACTTTACATAAAAATAATTTTAGATTTTTTTCCCCCCATCAAGTTTCTTCCTGTTTTCTTTTTTTGTTTTTTTTTTTTTTTTTTTTTTTTTTTTTTTTTTTTTTTGGGTTTTTTTTTTTTTTTTTTTTTTAAATGCTGTAACTTGCCCCTAATCTTTGTCTCTGGAATTTTACTCTCTAAATTTTAAAGTTAACTAGCATTTTCAAACCTTTATACCCTTGTCTTTTATATTAACTTTCTCTTATTATTCTTTAGGTAAGAATGATTGAGGTTGGCTGATACTGGAGTACTCACTCACTTCAAGTAAGTTTCCTTAGAAGTCCTAACCTGTAGAAGACTTTTGAGTGTGATTTGTTAACAAAGGTTAAGTAATGTGATTTAGCTATGTGGGGTGAAACGTGTTTGATTTTTCTTTTTTTAAGATCTTATTTATTTGACACACAGCAAGAGCGGGAACACAAGTAGGGTGGGGGGGAGGGGGAGAGGGAAAAGCAGGCTCCCTGCTGAGTAGGGAGCCCAGTGTGGGGCTTGATCCCAGGACCCTGGGATCATGACCTGAGCGAATGCAGCCTCTTAACGGCTGAGCTACCCAGGCGCCCCAAATGTGATTTTTAAAATGCTTACTTCTGAGATAATACCCATGTGTTTTTGTTTTTGAAAACAACATGCGGACGGCACCTGGGTGGCTCAGTCAAGTGTCTGCCCGTGGTTCAGGTCATGATCCTGGGGTCCTGAGTTCAAACCCTGCATCAGCTCTCTCTGCCTGCTTCTCCCTCTCTCTCTCTGCCTCACCCTGCTTATGTTCTCTTATGCGCTCATGCTGTCTCTCAAGTAAATCTTTAAAATGGGTGTGTGAGCTTGAGAAAGTGGGGACTATTTTATTTATAAAAGTGTCAGACGATAGACGAGTTGACAGAAGGTACATGGATGAAGCTGTGTTGTATACCTAAAATTAATAGACTATTGTGTGTTTTATGTTTCAGTTTTAAGAAAAGATACAGGATTGGGGCACCTGGGTGGTTTGGCTGGTTAAACGTCTGCCTTTGGCTTGGGTCATGATCTCAGGGTCCTGGGATTGAGCCCTGCATTGGGCTCCCTCCTCAGTGGGAGCCTGCTTCTCCCTCTCCTGCCTGCTGCTCCCACTGCTTGTGCATTCTCTGTGTCAGATAAGTAAATAAATCCAAAAATAATAGAGATACAAGATTATGTAAAGGGAAACCAGCTTGAATTAGTGGAAAAATGCCATATTTTTAGAACTCTAAATTCCACTCTTGACCCATTCAGAATCTCCCTTAAGATTCTCTTTTATTGCGGTGTCTGGGTGGCTCAGTGGGTTAAAGCCTCTGCCTTCGGCTCAGGTCATGATCCCAGAGTCCTGGGATCGAGCCCCACATCGGGCTCTCTGCTTGGCGGGGAGCCAGCTCCACCCCCACCCTCCACTGCCACCCCACCCCCATCTCTGCCTGCCTCTCTGCCTACTTGTGATCTCTGTCTGTCAAAAAAGAGAAAATTCTCATTTACTTAGAGAACAGTCCAGTCTTGGGTAGGAGGAAAAATCCTGTGGGTGTGAGGAAATTTTAGAAGACTATAACTGTAGTGTGGACCAGGTCTTTTCTAAGCAATAACAGCAAAACAAAAGAAAAAAACCACTGATTGGGTGGGCTCAAAAATGTGCCTCTTGGTGATGTGGAGAATAAGATGTACACACTATAGTTAATGAAAATGTAGTATGCTGTACATGTTATTTTAATAAGATATTTTTAATGATAGGTGGATAAGCTATTAGTCTCAAGACGACATCACACAACGTGAACCATGAAGGAAAGCCGCAGCCTATTAGACTGAGGAACTATCTAGGTAAGTTGAATGTTTCTTATTCTGTAAACTCCCTTCAGAAGAACTCTTGGGTGTTACAGAAATAACTACTTGTGTGTGAATATTTAATTTTAACTTACTCTGTGTTAAAACTATGTAGGGAGTAATGTTTTTATACTACTAAAAATATTTACAGTCCTTTTAATAGCCCTCTTGAGGCTGTAGGCCTTGTTGGTTTGCCTCAACCCTCAGAAAAATAGGGACTGTAGGGACGCCTGGGTGGCTCAGTTGTTACGCGGCTGCCTCTGCCTCAGGTCATGATTCCAGGGTCCTGGGATCGAGCCCCATATTGAGCCCCATCTCAGGCTCCTGCTCAGTGGGAAGCGTGCTTCTCCGTCTCCCACTCCCCCTGCTTCATTTCCCTCTTTCACTGTGTTTCTCTGTGTCAAATAAATAAAATCTTTTAAAGGGGGGGGGGCGGTGCGCCTGGGTGGCTCAGTGGGTTAAGCCTCTGCCTTCAGCTCAGGTCAAGATCTCAGGGTCCTGGGATCAAGCCCCACGTCGGGCTCCCTGCTCAGTGGGAGGCCTACTTCTCCCTCTCCCACTACTGCTTGTGTTCCCACTCTCTCTGTCTCTGTCAAATAAATAAAATCTTAAAAAAAAAAAAAAAAGAAAAAGAAAAGGGACTTCTAGTTTTCTGTAGGAGTTTGTATGTCTTTTTGCCTCCGTACATAGAACTGTGCAAAAGAGGGTTTGGAAAATTGGAAATTGCCTATTTTTTAACCAAATACTTATAAGATGGGGTCATCTAGAGTTGATGATGTCCTAGAAGGGTTGGCAGTTTTAAAGGGCAACTCAGTTCTGCTGTTGTAGCTGGGAAAGCAGTCATAGACTGTATGTAAACAAAGGGACAGGGCTGCATGCCAAGTTTACAAAAAAGTAGTAGGTAGACAGTAGCCTGTTGTCTCATCATCTAATACAAATGGATATATAGTTAGATTATAGCTCAGTTAAAGGGCTGTCATAATCATTTAAGAGTAAGGTAGAAATAGTGTTAAGTAATTGACTGGATTTTAAACCTAGGGGAGGTGCCAGGTAGTGGAGTGTGTTAAAAGATCTCCCTTCTCAGTGGTTGCAACTAAAGTTCTAATAAATGGAACTAAAGGTGAATCAACTAGCTGGTGACAAAGGCTGGTGGTAAAATAATCTGCATCTTAATCCTTAACTATATAGTACTTAATGATCATTAAGTACGTTAATATCCCATTTCTTGATTAGTATTACTTTGATATTAAAAAGTTTACTTGGTTAGTGCTAAACGGTGAGTGTTTGACAACTCTGATTCTTAACATCTTTTGGAGTAATTGTTTCTTTTAATTGGCAGGATCAGGTGAACTCTGTCCAGAAAACCAATGAAGAACAGGGCAAAGAGGAATGAGCAGCCTAATTGTTAATAAAGACATTTTTAAATCAGATTGTGCTTTTATTTGTTTTGGTTTTTGTGTTTAAGTAGGACTTTTTGTTTGTAATATTTTCTTTATATGTCATCACCTTGTTTTTAGGTGACATGGGCATGGAACATGGTGATTCAGGACTCGGGCTTTCTGGCCGAGCTGCTTCAACATTAATTACTGATCAGCCTGATGGCCCTTCCTTGGCTCTTGTCCTAATTTAACTGATTAAGCCATCAATATTTTAAAATTGCCTTGATTCTTTATAGGTTTTATTCCTAAAATCAGCATGTAGTGAAATACAGCAATTATAACTACATACCCCTCCTTGATTGGGCTTTAGGCATACCATTTTGTATCCTGCTTTTGTATTTCCCCCAAAGAATTGTCAGATGACGGTTATAGAGTATTGACATTACTTCACAAAGAAGCACAGAGTTAGAATTCCATCTTGCCAAATAATCATGTTTGGGTTACCCTGAGTAGCAATTTCTTTAAGTTAAAATGAATTGGAATTTCATATGCAGTGTGAAATATGAGTAGATGAATAGAAGTAGAAGGGAAGGATTGTTGGAATCGACTGTAAAATCGGCTCAATAAAGAAATTTGGAAGTAAAATCTGCTTTTCTCCCTTCACTCTAGTTATTTTGTTGAAATTTGACAAGTTTAGTCAAAGGGTTGTTTGGCACCAGCTTAATTAAGCACTTGTTCAGGAAAAGGTATGAAGCACGTGTTTAAAAGGTAATTCTGTTGATTTGTCACTGTGGGCCACGTTACTTAGTGCAGAATTTCAGAAAGCTCTAATTTGTTAGCTTGCTGTAATTAAATAGAGGAAGCTCAGAATTTAGAACATCTTGCTCAGTATTACTTGAAAAAGCACAGAGAGTTGAAAGCCAAAGCAGTCACTGCTCCCATGGGATTTGCTTTGGAAACCTGTGCAAGAGGAAGCCTAGCACTTAAAAACTACCAAGAGGTTGAGCATGAAAAAGACTGGGAAGAAATTCAAGGTTCATATGGGGGAAAAAATGCCATGTTCAGGGATTTAAAGACTTAGCAATTGGAGCTTCTTGGTGGCTCAGTTGGTTAAGGGTCTGCCTTCAGCTCAGGTCATAATCTCTGTGCTGTGAGATACCAGGGTAGTCAAACTTAGGTGGCAGCTGCCTTCCATCAGAATAAGCATCCCAAGAAACCCTGAGGGAAGCTGCATGATGTGACCTCTCTGACATAGGTTTGTCACTTCTACACTTGGTAGAAACAGTCACAGTCCCAATGAGATTAATGGGGAGGGGAAATACCCTCTACCGCTCAATGGAAGGAGTGCGAGAATATGCAGGTACAGTTTTGGGGTTTTTGTTTCTTTAGTATGTATGTATGTATTTTAAAGATTTTATTTGATCTCAAGTAGGCAGCCTGATGTGGGGCTCCACCCCAGGACCCTGAGATCATGACTAGAGCCAAAGACAGGCTTAACCCACTGAGCCACCCAGGCGCCCCTATTTTTTAAAAGTGCAGTATTGTTTTGAGACCACTAGAGTCTTGAAATTCATAGGCTCGTTATTTGTTCATTTTTTTCATTTATCAGTAATACACTTGATTTAGCCAAAAGGACAAACAATTTATCTGCAAGACATTTTGTCTCTTTTGTGCCAGATACATACTTAAAATGGAGATAACAGAGATGAAAAGATGTTCTGGTGGGGAGGTCTACGTAGGTGTAAAGGGGGAGAAACTATATATATATATTCCACTTAAGTGTTGGAGCCTTTATGTTGGTCACGTAAGTTTAATTTATTGTCACAACCATTCACTAGTCCTTGACATACGCTGAAGCATGGAAATGGAATGATCTATGTAAGTAGTAGGCAGTTGGGTATTTTTTACTTTTCTCAGCTCTATGCCCAGCAGAGGGCTTGAACTCATGACCCCAAGATTAGGGTTTCATGCTCAACTGACAGCCAGCCAGATCCTCTGGGGTATTGTTTTAGATGGAGACTTAACAAGCAGTGCACTCAGCAATAACACATGTAAGGGGTAAAAAGGAAACAGGCTTAGATGGGAAAGTTGGAAGTTGACATAGAACAGGTCTTGGCCAATCCATGAAATCCCAAATTATGTAAGGGGCTGAGCCTTTTTGTCCCACAGAATATTGACTATCTGTCTCTAGTGGAATGGGGGGAAGGGTGGGCATAAACTCAGGCCTTTCAACTGAGGACAATTCCCAGAAAGGGATAGAGTTAGGAGCCTGTAGGAAAGGTCGGGGAGCAAGGGACTCAATTCTGAAAGGGGTGTCTGGTGGTATATCCGAATCCAAACCCCGTATGTTCACAGGAAACTCAGGGAAGACTAGTGCGCGCAAGCAATTATGTATTTGGGGCTCATCAGCCTATAGGTTAACAGTTGAAGTCATGCGCCCAAGTAAGATTGTCCACGGAGCATATACAAGATGAAGAATCTGAGGATGCACCTCTGAGAACACTGTGTGGACTCTGGTACTAAGAGTTTATGAAAGAGGGGTGCCTGGGTGGCTCAGTTCTTGTGTCTACCTTCAGCTCAGGTCATGATCCCAGGGTCTTGGGATCGAGCCTGGCATCAGGCTCCCTGCTCAGCTGGGAAGCCTGCTTCTCTCTCCCACTCCCCTGCGTGTGTTCCCTCTCTCACTGAGTCTCTTTCTGTTAGATAGATGATAGTTCATGAAAGAGGGTTGCCTGGGTGGCTCAGGTTATGATCGCAGGGTCCTCAAATAAATAAAATCTTTTTAAAAAAGCTCATGAAAGAGACAAGGACAGGCAAGAAGTTACTCTCTAAAACAGAAGTTTGGAGTTTTGGAGGCAGAGGAAAGTGTTAAGAGTCTAGAGTGCAAGTTGGCAGGAGGATTTTCTATTTCTCTGAAACCAGAGAGCGGAGTAGGGAGGGAATCTGGTGTTACCTGCTGTTTGCTGTGCTGTGAGTAAAAAGAACCTGTCTTGGGGTGTCTGCCTGGCTCAGTCGGTGGAGCATGCGACTTGATCTTGGGGTTTTGAGTTCAAGCCCTCTGTTGGGCATAGAGCTTACTTTATTTTAATTTTTTAATTTTTGATGGAGAGTACAAGCATGCGGAGCAGCAGGGAGAGGGAGAAGCAGGCTCTCGCTGAGCAGAGAGCCTGAGTGGGGCTTGATCCCAGGTCCCTGAGTTCATGACCCGAGGCAAAGGCAGACACCTAACTGATTGAGCCACCACGGCACCACTAGAGCTTACTTTAAAAAAAAAACACTTCTTGAGTGTCTTATTCCGACCCATTGAGTTTCATTTTTAGCACATATGGAATTTTGGCAAGCTCCTGAGCTTGTTTGGTTAGTCATTTTTCTTGGAGTCTTGTCGTCCTCTGTAAGATTTGCCATCCTCTATAAGATTTGAGTTATCTCTCTTTTTTTTTAAGGATTTTATTTATTCACTTGACAGAGTGAGAGAACACAAGCAGGGGGGAAGTAACAGAGGCGGAAGGAGAAGCAGGCTCCCCACTGAGCAGGGAGCCCAATGAGGGGCTCAATCTCAGGACCTTGAGATCATGACCTGAGCTGAAGCCAGACGCTTAACTGACTGAGCCACCCAGGTGTCCCCAAAGTTCATTTCTTCAGACAGTATATTGAAGCTTGCTTTTTCAACCAATTTGACAATCTTTATTTTTCAATTGGAGTCTACTTTAGGCCGTATATTTAATATAATTACCAATATGGTTAGACTTAAGTCTCCTATCTTACGTGTTTTCTGTTTGTTCTGTTGTTTCCTTTTCCCTCTTTTCCTGCTATCCTTTGGCTACACTGAATATTTTTAGTATTCCATTTTATTCCTTCTATTGACTTACTAGTTATTCCTCTCAGTGTGTCTTAGTGGTTGCCTTAGAGCTTCAGTATGCGCCTTTAACTTACCACTCCTTACCATCAAATATATGCCTCTTCACAGAGAAGTTAGAACCTTAAGACAAATTTTCCCCATCCTTTGTGTTATTGTCATACTTTATTTCTACTTGTGTTATAACCCCTAGAAAAATATTATTTTTTTCCTATATACTCAAATATATTTTAAACAAATCTGAAAATTAGGGAAAATAACATATATATGTATATATGGCCTTTTCCCAAGAGCTAATTCTAGTGTTTGCCGGATGCCTCAGGTGTGTAACAAGGTTCTTCCGTTTTGGATAGACAGAATGCCAATGTTTCCCAGGTCTGTGGAATCTCTGGGTTCGTCTTACGGTTCCTTGGCTGTTCAATTTTAAATAGTTGTTCTTTGACCTGATGGAATCTCATTCTATATGTGCAGAGTTTAGTGTTCTGCTGAGAATGCAAAAGAAGCTTTATACAGGGGCGCCTGGGTGGCTCAGTAGTTAAGTGTCTGCCTTTGGCTCAGGTCATGATCCCAGGGTCCTGGGATTGAACGTCGGGCTCCCTGCTTGGCCGGAAGGCCAGTTTCTCTCTCTCTGACTCCCCCTGCTTGTGTTCCCCTCTCTCGTTGTGTCTTTCTCAAATAAATAAATAAATATATTTTTTAAAAAGCCTTACACAGATTTCTTTCTTTGCGTAGCTCCCTCCATTCTAGTAATATGTTCCACAGATTCCAGCTGCTTCAGCCTCATCAAACACCCATCTCTTCTCAGTGCAGCAAGACCATCACGCTCTGCTTGGGGCCTCCTTCCTACGCAGTGAATTGAATAATGCCTCCAGGCAGACGGCTGTGACGAGCACTTACCTCATTCATTACTCTTTTCTTGTGGATCACGGTACAGCGTAGTCTGCTTTCCAGTTTGTTTTGCACTGACTTATATCCCTCCCAAATTCATATATTGAAGTCTTACCTTCCAGTACGTACCAGAATGTGACTGTATTTGGAGACAGGGCCTTTAAACAGGTAATTAGGTCATAAGTTTGGGTTCTAAACCAGTAAGACTGGTGGCCTTATAAGAAGGGGAAGAGATACAAAGGTCATATGCAAAGGCCATGTGAGAACACAGTAAAACAATGCTATTGGCAAGCCAAAAAAGTAGACCTCAGAAGAAATCAAACCTCCTGACACCTTGGTCTTGGACTTTTGGCCTCCAGAATTATGAGAAAATTAATTTGTGGTATTTTAGCCATCCAATCTGGTATCTTACGAAGGCGGCCCTAGCAAACTAATGCATAATGTACAATCAGTAGTCATTTAATATCCTTTGTGTAGTTCTGGTGTTGTTTACAGCAGAAGGACAGATCTGGTACTAGTTCTTTGAGCTGGAAGCTGAATCCAACAGATTTGTTTTACCAGAGGACAGAACAAGTTGGACAAAATATTCACACAAGTCTGTTTTACACTGGAAAACATGATGAATATTTTTAAAAAACAGCTTTATTAAAATATAACTGATACATAACAAGCTCATATATTTAAAGTGTAAATTTGATAAGATTTGACATATGTATACACCATGAAATCATCACCACAGTCGAGTTAACGAAGGTGTCCATCCCACCCCCAGAATCTTTCTTGAGCCCCTTAGCCATCTGATTACTGCCCTTTCCCCTATCAATCTGCAGGCAACCCCTGGTCCGCTTTTCTCCTTAGTTCACTTTCCCCACTCCTTTACTTCCCAGGAGCATCTCCCAAA